CCGCAACCCGCCCGCTCCCCGCCGCCCCGCCGCGGGCAGTGGCCCTGCCGTGTGGCGCGGCCGCTTCTAATTTTCATTCCCCGCTTCCGAACGCCGTTATCGCCCCGTAAGGCTCACGCTGGCTGTTCTCCTCAGAAAGGGGAAGGATTTGCTAGGGCATCCTTCAGTTTTGGGCTTCTGTCTTCTCCCGGAACGATGTAAGACTATTCGCCTTTAACAGACCGAGGTTCCCTTTCCCCCCCCCCGTTAAAGCTTCCCAAACAAAGGACGTTTCACAAGCAGTACTCTTTAGACATCGGTATGTTTCTGGGTGCTGTCAGCAAAATGAACCCGGCCTCTTTCTTCCGAATTGAAGGGTGACCAGCAAACGGCGGGGAGGAAAAAAGTGGCCAGATTTTTAAGTTAATTTAACCTGATTTTGTTTTGATATTTGATTTTATTACGGTACCTTCTACCCTAGGAGTTCAGCTCTTGTTTAGTCTAAAGAACTCGGGTGGCCGCAGAGCCAGTGGGAGTCAAGACCAAGAGCTATGCCACTGCGAGGGCAAGGTGTTTATGTTTTAGCCATACGGTTAAAAATTCTTTGCATCTTTTTACGTTTGTTAACAGCCATTGAACATGCCCAAACACTTCATATTTTGGAAAAAGAAATTATTTGTTAGAAATCCAGTACATTGAGACTTCTAGTCATAGCAGTAGTGATGCAGTATCCATCTCCGAGACTCCTGGAGACCTACAGCATCAGAGAAAGCTGAAATTTCTGGTGTTACAACAAAAGGAGAAATCTAGATGTGTGTATTTAGTCTGAGCGTTGTGAAAGAGCTCAGGAGGGCAGAGCCGAAGCTGAGCATGTATTTGCTAGTCACCAGGGAGGGAAACCTGTAGCTGCTATGCTAGAATGAGCATCAGCTGGTGTAAATCACGGGAAGGTCTGTGTCTCTGCAGCTTTCTTAGTTATTGCTCTTTTCTGTGACAATAGGCTAGTCTCTTTATCATTTGTTATCTTTTCATTCCTTGCCTGCTAACATGTCCCTGACCGCTTTGTCCTCTATGTGTGGATTGCAGGATGCCTAAGTGATACCTTTTTTTCCTTTAGCAGTGCTATAGTCCAAGCAGCACCCAACAACAGCCACACACCTCCACTGAGTCTGAAAATATGGTCATCGCTGATTTCCAGCCTAGGGCTT